CAAAGCAGCAGGAATCGTTTCCTGGCTCCAGAACTTTTCATCTTACAGCTGCTGAAAACTAAATGTTTTCTCTTCCGACTGAGAAGCTGATGGACAGAAATCTCCCATTTCTCTGCTAATATTCTGGTTTAACATAATAACTGAGACCTTAACCATCGGAGGGGCAGCCAGCGTTTCTGCAGACCCCACACATGCTGGACACAAACTGTTTAGCCTCTAACCTGCAGGGCGGCGCTGCTGAGTCACTTCACCGACGGCACTTTCTTCTGCTGTAAAAAGTTAATTTGTTGTTTGTGTTCAGAAACAAACATTATTCTGATAATATTACAATAAATACATTAAACTCAAGGAAACTGAGTAAATTAATACATAAATAATTCAAAAGGTGAACAGAAATAAATATGTAACTAAATTTAAAAATTAAAACAGCATTTGGGCTCTAAATGTTTACAAGAAGAAGGTGGTAAAATATAAGAATAAAGTTGAAATAACATGAAAATAAAGTCATAATATTATTACAACTTTATTCTTCTAATTATTTTTTATTTTGACAATTTTGGTTTAAAATTCCGTCAAGCAAAATAAACAATATGTAAATATTTAAAGTTAACAAATATCTGAATACAAAACTAAACTTAAGTGTTTAAACAAATAAAACCTAAATCTGGAATAAATCAGAAGCTGTGGATCTGATTCATCCTGGTGCCTCCCCTCCTCCTCCTCCTCCTCTTCATCTCCTCCTCCTCTTCTCTTCCTCTCCTCCTCCTCTCTTCCTCCTCCTCTCCTCCTCCTCCTCCGTTTCAGAGCCTGGGCTCAGCAGGAACCTGCAGTTCCTCCAGCGTCCGTCCCGAGTAACGGCCCTCCTGGGAACAGACGCTGTGCTGGAATGTTCCGCCTCCGGATATCCGACTCCCAGCATCCAGTGGCGGAGAGGAGAGGAAGTCATCCAGAGCTGGTGGGTGTTTGTGGTTTCTGGAGTCGCTCTGCTGACAGGGAGAGAAAATAAAACATCTGCAGCTCGACTGCAGGATGAGAAATACATTCCTGTTTGGTTTCTAACAGAAGTCAGAGGTTTACAGTCTGAACGACGTTCAGCTCAGTGAAGATGTTCCAGCTCTGCAGAACCAGAACCAGAACCTGATTATTTATTAGCAGATGAACGATGAAGTGAGAACGACCCAGAAGGTAAAGATAAATCTGCCTCCAGTCCGGTTGGTTAAAAACAGAATCCAGAACAAAGTTCAGGAAACGTTGAACTTTTCAGTCTGGATCCTGCAGCTGGTGGACAAACAAACTTTGACATGAGAAATTCCTCTAACTTCAAGGTTTGGGTCAGATTTTCATCTTCACCCATCAGGGTTTTACATGTTTGGATGAAAAGCTGTTGGCTTGAACAGAATCTGTGAATCAGGTTAACAGAGTCTGTTCATCCTAAAGACTTAAAACCGTCTGAAAATTAAAACCTGATTCAGTTTAAAAATGTCGTAAATTTGGTCAGAATCAGTTGTTCCTGTATTCCATGTAGTTTATTTTCCTCATGAGACTTTCTGTCTTTGAGTCTTGACTTCATTTTGTGACCTGAAGCAGAGGAGGCTACCGCTAACTAGCCGCTAACGAGCCGCTAACGAGCCGCTAACTAGCCGCTAACGAGCTGCTAACTAGCTGCTAACTAGCTGTTAACTAGCTGCTAACTAGCTGTTAATCTGAGTTTAGCTGCTCTGTGGAAACGGTTCTAATGTTGGTCAATGATTCTCGTTGATCTGTCAGGAACAAGAAGTTCTCGCTGCTCGCAGGCAGCAACCTGATCATCAGAACCGTCACCGACGACGACTCCGGCGCCTACAGCTGCACGGCCGCCAACAAGAACCAGAACATCACGGCGCAGGCAGAACTCAGCGTCCAAGGTGAGGCGAGCAGAACCAAAAGAACCACGAATGAAAAGTTCTCCAACCGGGTCAACCAGAACCAAACGGCACCAACAGAACCGGGATGAACAGAACAGCATGACGGCGTGGCCCGCAGCATGACGGCGTGGCCCGCAGCATGACGGCGTGGCCCGCAGCATGACGCTCAGGCCCGCAGCATGTCGCCGTGGCCCGCAGCATGACGCCGTGGCCCGCAGCATGACGCTCAGGCCCGCAGCATGACGCCGTGGCCCGCAGCATGACGCCGTGGCCCGCAGCATGACGCCGTGGCCCGCAGCATGACGCTCAGGCCCGCAGCATGTCGCCGTGGCCCGCAGCATGACGCCGCGCTCTGCTTGTTTCCAGCTTTAATCTGAGGCAGCAGACAGGAGGAAACAGTCGGCAGCGTCAGAATCTGTGGAAGAAGCTTCACTTCATAAATGAAAACACAAATTGTTGCCGACAGCACATCTGTTCTCCTGCTGCATTCAGAGCAACATTCCATCTATATTTCATCTTTTATGATACTTAGCTCTGATTCCTCGTCGGCTTTCCGCTGTGACCTTGCTCTCCTGCACGGAGGCGTCGTTCTGCCGGTAATGAAGGTTTGGGACGTGATTCCTGGGAGCGCCATCGGATTTCCATCTGCCGCCGTAATGAGAGGCGGCCATGTTTGTTCTGAGAGCTCAGAGCAAACAGAAGCAGCTGCTGTTTGTTCACTGAGGAGCGAAACTGATGGCAGAATCACCTGCAGGCGCCGCTCCCAGCTGGGACAGCGTCTCGCAGCGTCTCACAGCATCTCACTGCGTCCCTCAATATCCTGCTGCGTCCCACAGCGTCTCACTGCGTCTCACAGCGTCCTGCTGCGTCTCACAGCGTCTCACAGCGTCTCGCAGCGTCTCGCAGCGTCCCACAGTGTCTCACAGCGTCCTGCTGCGTCCCACAGCGTCTCACTGCGTCCCACAGCGTCTCACTGCGTCTCACTGCGTCTCACTGCGTCTCACTGCGTCTCACTGCGTCCCACAGCGTCTCACATCGTCTCACTG